GAAAGTTGACACTAAAGCCTTGGGACTGTTATTTTTAAGTAACCTTGTATTCAGCAGAATTCATGAGCTGAAAGGGCCTCTTGAGGATGCTTCCCAGATAGAGGTCAGACGGCACAAACAGCTGTGATTGCCTCTCTCTGTGTGTAAAGATGTCCAGTTGGAAGGGCTTGATCTGCTTGGCGGGTGGTGCTTATGTGCCAGTTATCTTTGCCCCGGCCTGTGTCCACACACTGCTGGCCGTCTCCCAGTTATGTGGCTCTATTCACAAGGGGTAGGTGACCCTGAACGTGTGGAGGATGGAAGAATCAGAGCAAGCTCCGTCCTTACTTCCGAATAATTGGCTCAGAGCGTATGTTGCATTCCTAGTTGGCCAGGAGTGAGAAAGAATGATGACACAGTGTAGCAGAAACACAGACGCTCCCTCCCCAACACCCAGGGAACTGAACCAAAAAACAGTTAAAAACAAAAAAAAACCTAGCCCCAAATTCACCACCAGCAAATAAACAAATAAATAATAACAACAACAACAAAAAAAAGATTACAACTTTAAGCCGGGCACTTTGAAAAGTGGCAGGCAAGGAAGGAAACAGCCCACCCGAAGCCCTCGGAAGCAGTACTAGGAAAAGAAGGTGAGGGGGAGGATTCCTGCAGGTTCCTCCTAATGCAGATCAATATGGGAAGAAGTTGGTTGAGGAGGTGAGCAGATAGCCTTGGTAAATGTCCAGAGGCAGGAGAGGCAGGAGGCAGAGAGGCAGCAGAGGCAGGAAGGCACCCCAGTGCAGGCCACCTCCAGTCTCTGTACAGAGTTACAGGGAAGAGACCACAGGAGTGAGTGAGCCCTGGTCAGGCAGACTGGGATCTGGCCTAAGGCGTTGAACTGGCTTCCAAAAGAGGACAGAGCATAGGGCCCCCAGCAAGGGCAGGCCCAGTGAGTCCTGCCTCTCCTCCATGGCAGAAAAGTACACACAAAGCAGCAGCCAGCCTCAAACTGTAGCTCAGAAAGAGAAAGACAACTGGTCCCCTACAACATGAGCATAGCGTCAAAAGAGACATCAACTTGCTATAAGAGAGCAAAGAGCAGTCCTGGACAGAGAAGCTTATGTCGTAAGTATGAGCGAGACAACAATGAGTGTCATGTCAACTCTGTGAAATGCTACAGCGGAAGGACGAAAGAAAGGAACACAGACTGTAAAAATAAACATGCAACTAATTTGATCTGCAAGGAAACCTGATCCTAAAAACCTTAACCGCATGAATGTTTTATGCTATAGAAGAGCTCAGTAGCAACTCAGTAGAAATAAAAACTCAAAATATAGTTATGAAAAACCAACAATGGGATTCTTTTTAATTTTTGTTTTTAATAGCGGTGACATATACATAATATAAAATTTACTGTCGTAATCCTTTTTAAATGTACAGTTCAATAATGTTAAGTACATGCACATTGTTTTGCAGTCAATCTCCAGAACTCTTTTCATCTTACAGAACTGAAACTCTAGACCCATTAAACAATAATTCCCCGTTCTTCCCTCCCCCAGTCCCTGACAACCACCATTCTACTTTCTGTCTCTATGAATTTAACTCCTCTAAGTACCTCATATGGATAGAATCAGAGAGCATTTGTCTTTTTGCAAGTGGCTTATTTCACTTAGCATAATGTCTTCATTCACATTGTAGCACATGTCAGAATTTCCTTCCTTTTTAAGGTTAAATAATATTCCATTGTATGTATTTACCACATTTTGTTTATCCATCCATCCATTGATGGACACTTAGGTTGCTTCAACCTTTTGGCTATCGTGAATAATGTTGCTATGAACATGGGTGTACAAATATCTCTTCAAGTCCCTGCTTTCAGTTCTTTTGGATATATACCCAGAAATGGAATCGCTGGATCATATACTAATTCTGTTCTTAAATTTTTGAGGAACTGCCTTACTGTTTTTCATAGCAACTGCACCATTTTACAACCCCACCAACAGTACACAAGGGTTCTAATTTCTCCACACCCTCACCAACACTTGGTACTTCTGGTTTTGTTGTTGTTGTTGTTGTTGATAGTAGCTATTCTAATGGGTGGCGAGGTGGAATGGAATTTTTAAAAGATAGAGCCAAGAAAAGAAATTGAGAACAAAAACACAATACAAGATTAGAACCAGAAAACAAACACGCATGCACACGCACAGAATAGACCTAGCTGAAAATCAAATGAATGGCATGGGAAAAGAATGATGAGATAAACCCAGAGAGGGGATTAAAACGATAAGAGAAAAAACGATTGTTGCGGAGGATAGGCAGAGCCATCCAGCCTACTGAGCAGAAGAAGAATGCAACAATATGACCCAGGAAGATTTTTCTGACAAAAAGAAAGGACTAAAACTTTGGTCAGAAGGTCATGCTACATACCTGGAAAAGCAGATATAGAATGGCATAGATATACTCTGGTCTAAAGCTTCAGTACTTGAGACCCCAGACAGCAAAAGCAAGTTACACAAAATGTTGGATGACCAGGTCGGTATCAGAATTCTCCATGTCAGCATTCCCCGACCATAAAATAGGAACAAGGTCTACAAACTTGTAGGGAGAATAAAATTATTTAAATA